CATTAAAAAACATTCCTGATGTGTGGGAAGAGCTCAAACTATCAACATTATCAGGCGTTTGGAAGAGGTGACTCCAGCCCTCGTGGATGACTTACGGGTTCAAGACTGCAGTGGAGGAGATAACTGCAGTGGTGGAAATAGCAAGAGAATGAGAATTGTCAAGTGGAGCCTGAAGAGGTGACTGAATGGCTGCACTCTCATGACACAACTCTAACAGAGGAGGGGTTGCTGCTTCTGGATGAGCAAAGAAAGTGGTTTCTTGAGACGGGGTCTACTGGTGAAGATGCTGTGCAGACTGTTGAAATGGCAACAAAGGATGCAGAGTATGATATGAATTTAACTGACATAGCAGCGGCAGAGTTTGGGAGGACGGACTTCCATTTTGAAAGGAGTTCTGCTGGGGGTGAAATATATCGAACAGCATCGCATGCTACAGAGAAATCATTCCGCAAAGAGTCAATCAACGCGGCAAACTGTGCTGCTGTACTTCAGGGAGCGCCACCGCCACCCCAAACTTCAGTCACCCCCACCAGCAAAACGAGGGGCTCAGAGGATGGTTAGCACTTTTTAGCAATAAAGTATTGTTTTTAATTAATTTATTTTTGTTACAAATGTTTCTTTTTCCCCCCACTGATTCCCCCCTCTCCCTCCCTCCCTGCCCTGTCCCCAGCTTTGTTGTCCATGTCCATTGTTCATGCGTACATGCATATAAGTTCTGTGGTTTATCTCTCCCCCACCACCCTCTCTTCTGGGGATGTCAGTCTGTACCCCACTTCCACGTTTCTGGGACTATCCCATTCCTCAGACTATTATGTTCATTATATTCCACAAATAAGTGAGATCATATGATACTTGTCTTTCTCTGTTTGGCTTGTTTCACTTAGGATGATACTTTCCAGGTCCCTCCATGTCATCTCAAAGGATAAGAGATCTTTCTTTCTTACAGCTGCATAATACTCCATTGTGTATATGTACCACAGCTTTTTTATCCATTCGTCTACTGATGGACACTTGGGCTGTTTCCAGATCTTAGCTATTGTAAATAGTGCTGCTACAAACATGGGGGTACATGTATTCTTTCTGATTGGTGTTTCAGGCTTCTTAGGGTATATTTCTAGAAGCGGGATCACTGGGTCACATGGAAGTTCCATTTTTAATTTTTTGAGGTAACACCATATTTTTTTCCATAGTGGCTGCACCAGTCTGCATTCCCACCAGCAGTGCACTAGAGTCCCCTTTTCTCCACACCCTCGCCAACACTTGTTGTTTGATGATTTGTTGATGGCGGCCATTCTGACAGGTGTGAGGTGATACCTCATTGTTGTTTTAATTTGCATCTCTCTGATGATTAGTGATGTTGAGCATTTCTTCATATGCCTCTTAGCCATTTGTATGTCCTGTTTGGAGAGGTGTCTATTTAGTTCCTCTGCCCATTTTTTAATTGGGTTCTTTGTCTTCCTTTTATTGAGTTGTATGAGCACTCTAATTATATTGGAAATTAACCCCTTATCTGATATATCATTGGCAATTATGCTCTCCCATACAGTGGGTAGCCTTTCCGTTTTGATGATTGTGTCTTTCGCTGTGCAGAAGCTTTTGAGTTTGATGTAGTCCCATGTGTTCATTTTCTCCTTTGTTTCTGTTGTCTTAGGTGATGTATCAGTGAAAATTCTGCTGCGTCTGATGTCTGAAATTTTGTTGCCTACAGTTTCTTCTAGGATTTTTATGGATTCGTGAGTCACATTTAAGTCTTTTATCCATTTTGAGTTTATTCTTGTGTAGGGTGTAAGTTGATGGTCTAGTTTCATTTTTTTTGCATGTAGCTGTCCAATTTTCCCAATACCATTTATTAAAGAGGCTGTCCTTACTCCACTGTATGCTCTTGACACCTTTGTCAAATATTAATTGAGCATGTTGCCTTGGGTCCATTTCTGGGTTCTCTGTTCTGTTCCACTGGTCTATATGCCTGTTCTTGTGCCAGTACCAGACTGCTTTGATTACAGTGGCTTTGCAGTATAACCTGAAATCTGGTAATGTGATCCCTCCAACTTTGTTCTTCTTTTTCCAGATTGCTGTGGCTATTCGAGGTCTTTTTTGGGTCCATATGAACTTTTGAAGTATTTGTTCTAATTCTGTGAAGTATGTCATTGGTATTTTGATGGGGATTGCGTTGAATCTATAGATTGCTTTGGGTAGTATGGACATTTTAATGATGTTAATTCTTCCAATCCATGAACAGGGTATGTGCTTCCACTTTTTAATCTTCCTCTATTTCTTTTTTCAATGACCTGTCGTTTTCTGCGAATAGGTCCTTTATTTCTTTGGTTAAGTTTGTTCCTAGGTATCGTAATTTTTTTGCCGCAATGGTAAATGGGATTGTTTTCTTAGTTTCTCTTTCTGTGAGTTCATCATTGGTGTATAAGAATGCCATCGAGCCCTGGCTGGTTTGGCTCAGCGGTTAGAGCGTCGACCTGCGGTCCTGAGAGACCCGGGTTCGGTTCCCGCTAAGGGCATGTACCTCGGTTGCAGTTTGTCCCTGGCCCTGGTGGGTCGTGCGGGTGGCAACCACTCGATGTGTCCCTTTCACATCGATGTTTCTCTCTCTCTCTCTGTTCCTCTCTCTCCCTCCCACTCTACCTGAACAAAAAATGGAAAAATGTCCTCCAGTGAGGATAAAAAAAAAAAAAAAAAAAGAATGCCATCGATTTTGCAATACAGTATTTTTATAGTGAAACTTATAAAGTTAAATCTACTGGGGTAACATTGGTCAATAATAATCTATAAATTTCAGGTGTACAACTTGATGATACAACATCTGTATACTCTATTGTGTGCTCAGCACGTAAGTCTAGTCTCCTGTCACTAGATATTGGACTCACTTTACCCTCTTTGTCCTCCCCCCAACTCCCTCTTCCCTGTTGGTAACTACCATTCTGTTTATTATCAGTATCTATGAGTTTGTTGCAATAAAAGATTATTAGCCCGGCTGGTGTGGCTCAGTGGTTGAGCATCGACCCATGCACCAGGAGGTCGCCGGTTTGATTCCTGGTCAGGGCACATGCCCAGGCTGTGGGCCCGTTCCCCAGTGGGGGGCATGCAGGAGGCGGCCAGTGGATGTTCTCTCTCATCGATGTTTCTCTCTCTCTCTCCCCCCCCTTCCTTCCTCTCTCTCTAAAATCAATAAAGAAAATAAAATAAATGTCCCTATTGTGGGGGGCAGTCGGCATACCTGTGGCTTTAGCCATGCCTGTGGCGGACTCCTGCTTACAGTGCTCATCTCACCCTTGCCCTCTGCCTCAGGTCTCTGAGGCCCATCCAGAAGCTGGACAAGACGGAGCCGTGCCCGGGGCATCCCTCGGCTGCTGGGGGACACACGCCTTAGGCCCTGGCCCTCCGGTGCTCACTTTTGGAAAGCATTCTGGGTGCTCCTGAGGCCTGGCAGGAAGAGCCCCAGCTCCAGCAGCAACCAGCGACCTGCTGCACACTGGTTCTCCCGCCTCTGGCTCACTGCCGCTTCCCGAGACCACGATCCGCTGGGCCCCCACCACCGCACCGAGTGCTGGGCTCGGCGGGGCTTTGGCCCACCCGTCCTGCCGGCAAAAGGCCTCTCTGCCGGTGTCGGCCTTGCTGCACCCACTCTCACGATGCCCTCGAGTCCATCACGTGGCAGGGTGTCCTTCCGAAACACACGCCCTGGACACACAGCAGCACAAAAGCCTCCGCAGCCCCCCTGCCCTGCACCATGCCTCTTGAGCTCTTCTAGGGACCGTGGGCTCCTCAAAGGGGCACCCCCTGGCCTCCGCTCATGCCATTCCCTTCGCCTGGGAAGCCCTTTCCTTCTGCTCAATGGCGAAATTCCAACCGTCTTTCAACAAGTCTGATTCAACAGACACCTCAGCTCTCCTGTCTCTCGGGCAGGATCGTGGCTCTGACGGCCTGCCTCCAGCCTGACACCGAATGAAGTGCCTGCCTGAGGCTCATCACTCACGCGGCTCCTGGCAGGTGGGGTATGGCCACTACCCCACTTCACAGACAAGGAAACTGAGGTGCAGAAGGCTCTCGCCTAGGGCATGCAACTAGGATTTGTACCCAGGCCTCTGGCTGACCCAAGCAGAAGAGGAATCTTGAAAGGGTCTTGGACAGCTCCCAGGACTGACTGACAGGCTGGAGAAGCGTTTTCCAGCCACAGACCTATCCCTGCAGCAGTCCCGTGATGTCGCCTCTGACACAGGGCCCTCATGGACGCCGCCACAGCCCAGCCGCTGCGATCCTGGTCTCAGCATGCTGCTGCGAGCCTGGTGGAGATGGGCACGGGGGCAGCCCACCTCCCCGCAAATGGCCAATGACCTCTGCCCCCTCACACGTACGCAGCCCTGGCACCCCAGAGTGGACACCAGCTTCTTGTCACCTTGTGTGTCTTGATTATGTAGATGTATGCTGGGTACCCCCAAAAGGACAGGACCTTGGGGGTCTCTATATCCACTGAGCACAGGCCAAGGGACCCCCACCAAACAGGTCCAGTGCCTCAGCAGAGGTTTATTGAGTGAGTATGGGGTTCAGAGAAAGAGGCCCCGAAAGGCAGGCACAGACTTGTACCTACAGATGGGTTTTCATGCATTTCTGGCTTTTCTAGGAAAAGGGGAAGTTCTAAAACGTTGAGCCTGTGTATCCTCTTGCCAGAGACCCCCAGCCTCAGCCTCCAGCTCCCAGCTCCAGTCCAGAGCCCTCAGCCCCAGCCCCCAGCCCCAGCCCCAGCCTCTAGCCCCCAGTCCCAGCCCCCAGCCCAAGTCCCAGCTCCAGCCCTCAGCCCGCAGCCCCCAGCCCACAGCCCGCAGCCCCAGCCTGCAGCCCCCAGCCCCAGCCCACAGCCCAAGTCCCAGCTCCACCCTCAGCCCCCAGCCCCCAGCCCCAGCCCGCAGCCCCAGCCCCAGCCCGCAGCCCCAGCCCCCAGCCCCAGCCCGCAGCCCCCAGCCCTGCCTCTGCCCAGGGCCTGAGCTCACGTTCATCATGTTGCCGATGAGGTTGTTGCCCAGCGACAGCACCTGCAGCTTGACCAGGGCGTCCAGAGAGTCGATCTTGGAGATGCGGTTGTTGAATAAGCTCAGGTCCTCCAGGTTCACCAGCGAGTCCAGCCCCTCGATGGCCTCGATGTTGTTGAAAGACAGGTCTGGGAGGAGGAGGCCGCAAGGGCTGAGTGACAGGTTAGGGGATGTATTGACCGCTACTCCTGCCCTCTGGGCGAGCTCCAAGCTGTCTGGCAGCGCCGTGTTCTGGAAGCCGCCGTGGGGTCCCTCCGGCAGCCTCGGACTTTCGTGACCCTCTCCAGTCCTGCCACTCGTCTTCTTGGCACAGGACACATGGGCAAATACTCAAGCCTATGCTGCCACTGTTCTGAGATGGAAATGCTTACTGGCAGGTCTGGAACACTGCATCTGGGGGTGGGGAGGCCGCTGGAGTGTCCCCTTCACCTTCTCCTGTGCATTTTGCTGGTAACACCTCCCACCTGCTCTGCATTCACCAGTCTATCGAGAGCCTGTGCATCCAGACGACAGCCCTAAGGGGCAGTTTGGAACTCCTCTCCCCATTTGCTCAGTCGGGGTGCTGAGGCTCAAAGAGGCTCAGTGATTCGCCCAGAGCCACATGGCTCACCCAGGGCTCCTCCCGGGCAATCCCAGGCCAGGTTCTCCCAGGCACAGCTCAGCCCGCCCGCTTCCCCCCAAGCCAAGCCCAGAGACGATGCCGTGATCCTCTCCAGCCCAAGTGGCACATCTCTGGGACTCAAACGGATTTTTCTCCACCACAGGTTTTTGTGGGCACTAGGGAACAACCTTGTCCTAGAATACCAGTGGCCCAGAGACTCAAAACAGGAATTCTTCATGAGCTTGCAAACGTAGTCATGATAGCTGCAAGCAAGCACATTACGAAAGGTGGTTTGGAAAGTAAGTTGAGCCCGGCGGTGTGGCTCACAGGCTGAGCATCGACCCTGCACCAAGAGGTTCGATTGCCTGTCAGGGCACATGCCCAGGTTGTGGGCCCAATCCCCAGTGGGGGGCATGCAGGAGGCAGCCAATCGATGTTCCCTCTCATCGATGTTTCTATCTCTCTTTCCCTCTGAAATCAGTAAAAGAAAAGAAAAAAAGGAAAGAAAGTTTACCCACATCTTAATTCAGCCTTGTTGGTACATCATGGGATCCTGACCTGTGGACAGCTGAGACTAATGATAACGTCTTGTCCCTTTCTCTATGCTAGGCTCTGAAGTGCATTACCTCATTTACCCTCACGGCATAGGTAGCAGCACCTGTATTTTATGGATGAGGAAGCCAAGATTCAAAGGGGCCTGATAGTAATATGCCCAAGATCACATAGCACATAAAGAGTGGAGGTTCAGCCCTGGACGGTTGCCCAGTGGTTAGAGCATCGGCCCACGAACCAGTGAGTAGCAGGTTTGATTCTGGCCAAGGGCACGTATCTTGGTTGCAGTGCATCCCTGGCCCTCGTAGGGATTGTGAGGGAGGCAACTAGTCGATGTGTCTCTCTCACATTGATGTTTCTCTCTCCCTCCTTCCCGCTCTATCTGAAGATAAATAGAAAAATATTCTCAGGTGAGGATTAAAGAGAGAGAGAGAGACTGGAGGTTCAGAGGGCTGAAATACTCTGTGCAAAATCAGTCAGTACACTGGCAGAGCTGGGATATAACCAGGGTCTGCTGGATGCCAAGCCTGCCCACTTCCTTCCCACCAGGCAGCCAGGCTCTGCTCTTTGGAGGCCTGGTCGTGCCCACAGGACCAGGTCTGCAGATACGTGTTGAACAACATAGGGTGCAGTGAGGGCAGCTCTGACTGGCTGCGCTTGCCAGTACCTGGGGAACAATGACCTTGGCCAGTGTGGTCTCGGCAGGGGGTCACCTTCGTTAGGGTAGTCACACACAGAAAGGGGCCTCACCTAGCCAGACCAGGTGTGTGAGGTTCTCCAGGCCCTCGATCCTCTCGATTATGTTGTTGTCCAGCTGCAGCTTCCTCAAACTCTCAAACTGCCAGAGGTTGTCGATGCGGAGGATGTCTGCAATGATCAGAGGGGGGCCTCAGCCAGCTCCAGCCTGCGCTTCAGGTGGGGTTAGCTCCAGTGCACGGGGGCTTGACACCAGTGCAGAACGTACCTGAGGCCCCACAATTCTGCTGCCTTGCCCTGGAGCATGAGGGGTGCCTGGGGATGAGGGCTGTGCCCTAGGGAGCTCTGAGTCCCCTTTGGTGCAATGGTACTGACCCGTGCCCTGGGGCACAGAAGGACCTGCTCAGGGCATGGGACTCACTCATGGTGCCTGTAGGGCCGGGCCGGGGGGCTGCCCAGGAAGCCAGAACAACTTGGGGCCCAAGACACAAGCAGGGGTCCCTCTTCTTCCTTCTGCAGTGACAAACAGAATGGGGGCTGCAGGGCGATGCTTCCTGGTGCACTACTGGTGGGGCAGTCGATGAGCTCAGACATTTTGGGGGCAATTTGGACACATTTACTGAAATACTTAATGTCTGTGCCCTCTGACCATGGGGTTTCTCTACTCGGAACTGTCTGTAAAGACACACCTGTGTCCGTGCTCAAAGAAATACCTCTAGGCCCAGGAGGGGTAGAAAGATAGGGGACCCCAAGTGTCCATATATGGGGAGTGGGACAAATCGCCTGTACAGTGACAGGCAGGCTCCTCGAGCCCGAGACACCTGGCCCTGTGGTCCCTGACACCTTCAGTCACACGGCCAGCTCCCTCCCTCTGCCCCCACACCTGGCGGCTGGGTTTCTGTTGCTGGCGGCCAGAAGAGTTCTGAAAACACTGACGTATGAATAAGTATATTCTGTGTACGTAAAATTCTAGAGGCTTAAACGTGTCCCCAGGTTTTTCTAGAAGCTACAGACAGTTCTGTTGCTTACGTGCCCCTCTTTTTATATTTGTTTTTGTGGTGATTTCTAAAACTTAGAATATGCTCATTAAAAGGCAAATGAGCCCTGGCCGGTTTGGCTCAGCGGTTAGAGCGTCGGCCTGCGGTCCAGAGAGACCCGGGTTCGGTTCCCGCTAAGGGCACGTACCTCGGTTGCAGTCTGTCCCCAGCCCTGGTTGGTCGTGCAGGTGGCAGCCACTCGATGTGTCCCTTTCATGGCGATGTTTCTCTCTCTCTATACCTCTCTCTCCCTCCCGCTCTATCTGAACAAAAAACGGAAAAATGTCCTCAGGTGAGGATAAAAAAACAAAAAACAAACATAAAAGACAAATGATATAGCCCAGTCAGTGAGGCTCAGGGGTTGAGCATCAACCCCTGCACCCAGAGGTCGCTGGTTCGATTCCCGGTCAGGACACATGCCCAGATTGTGGGCCCGATCCCTGGTGGGGGGCGTGCAGGAGGCGGCCAATCGATGTTTCTGTCTCTCTCTCCCTCTCCCTCTAAAATCAACACAGCAAAAAATTAAAATAAAAAGACAAATGACACAGAGTGGAAGGGAGAAGAAGATGCCCTTAATGAGCACACATTCGGGGCAGAGTGTCATTATTTATTCGGAGGGACACGATCCACTGTGAGGTCCTGGGAGAGGGGCAGCGCCTTCCCAGCTGCCCTCTCCACGCCAGGTCTCCATGGGGTGGACAGACAGCATTCCTCGGACCCAAGGTCCTGCTTCTTCGGGGTCCCAGGGCCAGCAGGACTGGTGTCTGTTCCCTAGTTCTGTGTGGCCGGATTTCCCAGAATGATGGCACTACCATCCCTACTCGTGGTTCTGGGGTGGGCCCAGTGCCACCCCTCGATCTCAGTTTCCTGCCATCCTGGTCTGGACGTTCCAGGGACCTTCTCTGACCTTGGCGTAGACGGACAGCCTCGGATGTGGCTGACTGTCCGCAGGTACCCCTCCGCCCGCACTACGGGGGCTCTGCCAGTCACCCCGCATGCTGGTGGCTCCTGACACATCAGCAGTTCACGCGGAAAAGCCACAACAATGAAGTCAGGGTGTATTCGGCAGTCAGCTCTGCGTGAGCTTCCGGCATGATGGGACTGCCCCCAAAGCCACCGTAACCTTTAACACAGACACGGACCCTCCTCTGCTGCCACCACGTCAGTCTCAGCCCGTCATCGCTGCCTGGACCACAGCCCCGGCCGCCTCACTAGACTCCCCGCTCCGGTCCTTGGTCTCCACAGTCTATCCTCCTGAGGCCAGCGGAGCCTGTGAAACCGAAATCCCATCCTGTCCCTCCTCTGCTCAGGACCCCCACGGCTCCCACCTCGCGCCCTATACAAACCCAGCACCCTCTCCTAGCCCCAAGGCTGAGCTCCCTGACCCCGCGGCCTCCCCTACCGCTGGGGCTGCCGCGCTGACTCCACCCTCTGGCCTGGACACCTTCCCCGGACCTCCACAGGGCTCCTTCTCGGCTCTACTCAGTGGTCACCTTCTCGGTGAGGCCTCTAGCCACCTGGTAAAACACTGCTCCCCACCCAGTGCCCTTTCCCTCCCCTGGGTTCTTGTCTATCGCACACGCGATCTTGAGCGCACTACTCTTTTCCTTCACTGTATTGCACGTGCCCCTCACTTCAGTGGCAGCTCCGCAAGGACCGGATCTTTTTGTTTTTGTTCGCTTTTGCCTTTTTTGTTCACAGTTGAATCCCTAGTACCTGGAAAAGCAGCTGGCAGATAAGAGGCACTTGATAAACGCTGGCTGATGAACACAGAGTGGGAGTGGGGGGCAGAAGGAAGGGGTCAGTGCCAAGCTCCCTCTAGTGACGGCCACTCTGTAGCTGCTCACCCTTCAACACTGAGGCCCAGGGGTGCCCGCTGGCTCCTGAGGCCCGGGGGTCACTGCTGGCTCCTACAGAGCTGTGGTCAGCCGGAGTTTTGCTCTGGCCAGGCCTGTGGGTTTGTGAGCGTGGGGTCAGGGCCTTGCCCACTGCTGGGTACCCAGGGTCTGGCATAGACCGCTGAGGCAGGGCCTCGGAGAGGATGAAGAGGGTCAAGGGGGTCAAATATATGGTGACAGAAGGAGAGGAGACTTTCACCTGAAATCTATACAGGGTTATCAGCCAAGGTTACTCCAATAAATACATTTTTTTAAAAAGAAAGAACACCACCCCCCAAAACAAGTCCAAAAAAATTTTTTTCTGTTGCTGAGTGGGTGACTGGGCAGGCTGGCACAGGAACCCAGGACAGAGAGGAACGTGGACCCGGCCAGGTTGCTCCGCTGTGGCCGCCTACACCATGCACCAGGGGTCTCAGGACCCTTGCCCACCTCTCTTGCTTCCTCTCTCACCCCTCACTGGCTTTTTTCAGTGAACCCGAAACTGTGCACATGTTGTCTTGCCTTGTCCTCCCGACCAGCACTTGACCAGGGACTACAATCATCCCATTTCCCAGATGGGGGCACTGAGGCACTGAGCTTCTAACAGGTCCCCAGCCACATCTTCCCACTAGGCAACCCTGCCACTCTCTTTTCTTTCTTTTTTTTTTGTAATCCTCAAGGATATTTTTCGATTTATTTTCAGATAGAGTGGGAGGGGGACAGAGGGAAAAAGAGAGAAACATTGACATGAGAGAGACACATTGACTGGTTACCCCCCCACCCCTGCATGATCCTGATCGGGGCCAGGAATGAACCGAAACAGGTACGTGCTCTTGACCAGAATCGAACCCGTGGCTCACTGGTCTCTGATTGATGCTCTAACTGCTAAGCCAAACTGGCCATGGCCACCCTACCACTCCTGAGGTGCTTCCCTGCCTTCTGGCCCCTCCAAAGCTGCTCTCCCTGGCACATCCCCCGCACCCCCAGCTCCAGCCTGACTGGGACCACCCTCCCAGGTTCCTCCTGCCAGGGGCCCCACTCCCAGGACACTGCGGCCTTTGTGATCCACTTAGATTTGAAGTGGGAGAACTTTATCTTTGTATATGGATTTGCACAAAATTCTGGTGCTGGGATGTGGACGGGAGAGAGCAGGGGGCCCTGCCTGGTGCCCTGTCCACACCGGGATACGCACTCTGGAAGTCCAGCTGCAGGGAGAGGACGTCCTTAAAGAGGACGCCCTCCTGCTTGGCCAGCTGCCCGGCCTCCTCCTGCGGGCCCTGCTCCCCGACGGCCAGCTTGAGCATGTTGTCGTCCATCACTCTTGGCTCCAGAGAGTTGCAAAGCCGATTCATCACAGCACGACGTTCCACAGTGTCCTCTCCCTGCACCAAGGACGGGGGCTGGTGGGCGTCCTTCAAACGCTGCCCTCCTCCCACGGCTCGGCCCACTGCACCTAGGGGTTAGTGCGTGCGCACCGGGCTGCCCCAGGGCTGCCCCTGGCGACCCACCCAAGCTGCTCGCTCACGTTCTCCCAATGAGACATGTGAGCATGGGGCCCTAGGACAAGAGTGCCCGTCAGAGCTGGTCGCTGGAGCTGGGGAGAAACCAGGGGGCAGACAAGCTGAGAGGAGCAGAGATGGAGATCTGGGTGATCCAGCTCCTCGCATACCCAGTCTCAGGCCCTGTGAGGGTCCTGCGGTCCCTTTCTGCGTGAGTTTCCTGACTTCTAGCGTTAAGTCCTCTTTTACGTAAACTAAGTCCGGTGGGTCTCTGTTAATGGTCAGAGGGATTTGGCAAAGGGGAGGGTTGTGGATCTGTCAGTCATACTGAGGCTGAGTGGGTTGTTCTCCTGGCCGGGCAGAGCCCTGGGAGCCAGGGCTCCCATCCGCATCGTCATCGCCAACCCTCAGTGAGAACGTCCCGAAAGGCCGGCCCGAAGGCAGGCAGTCTCCCGCCAGTCACCCGGAAACGCCCAATTCCGCCTCCTGCACCCTCTGGAAACTCAGTTCTCCCTTCCACTCTCCGCCCCTGCTTCTCATCTCCCTGCTGACGTCACCGGCTACCTTTTTCTGCAGGTGTCCCCAACATCTGGGCCTCCCTGAACCTCCGTCCTCCCTGCTCTGCTGGTCCTTGACACTGGGCAGCCCTTGTCCTCTGCCTTTGACCTACCGAGTACTGATTGGGGAGACTCCTGCAGGTGGGCGGATGGCGTCCACCACAAACCCAGAGGGGCCTGGCAACTCTGCCACCTGGTCTTAGAGACTGCCGCTGCCAGCCGCTCTCCCTCGCCTGCCCTCCATCGATCTGAAGGCAGCGTGTGTAAATATGCACCCTCTGTTTTTGTGCTGTGCACGATCAAATGGCCCGTGCTTTTAGCTCTGGTCAGTTTGGCTCAGCGGTTGGAGTGTCGGCCTGCGGACCAGAGAGTCCTGGGTTTGGTTCCTGCTAGGGGCTCGTACCCAACAACAACAACAAAATGTCCCGAGCTTTTAACTCCCAAGCATCCATTCCTCTGACCCCTTCCCCCCAGGAGGCACAGCCTCCCCTAGCTCCACCCCCATGCCCAGTCTCTGCCTGTGCTTTCCATTTCCGTTCTCTAGTTTGTCAACACTGGCTCCATCTCCTTAGGGCGACTGAGTCACTTCTACCCCAGGAGATGTTTCCAGTCCTCTGCCTCTCTGTGTGTCCCGCTCTTCTGAAACCAGCGTTTCCGTGTCTCCCGTGACCTGACACCGAGCTGCCTTTGGAAGACTTCAACACGCTGTGCTTGGCAGGTTTTACCTGCAAAGTGCTTGTGCCTTTTCAAAGCAAGGTACTGTGCTCGGGGAAGCGATTCTCAATCCTGATTCTGAAACTTCAGCTGCCCAACCCCTCCCACATCATCAGGCCTGGCTCCTAGGACAGACAAGCCAACTTCCAGTCAGGCCCAAGAGAGAGTCGCAATGTTGAACAGCGATTCTGCACACGGGGGCAGGGTTTGGATCCCGCCTTTGTGTCCTTTGGCAACTCACTGTCTAAGCCTTGAATCCCCATCCTGAAAGGTGAATCATTCCTCCCTCCTCAATTTGTTATGACTACAACAGACACATCTCCTTGCTTTTGTTTCAGAATGTATCCGATAGTCATACTAATATTTAATTAAAGACCACAACAAATCTGTAGGTGTAGAGAACTATGACAGCGTACACTGGGGCGCCTGGCCTGGTCAGTGGAGACCTGAGATCTGAGGAGGAAGAAGGAAGGAAGAGGAAGTGTGTGGTGAGGTTTCTGATGTGGGAGAGACTGAGACATGTTCCTCCTGGGCTGGGGTGATACAAGCTTGGAGAGCCTCTCTGAGCTCTGTTGTCACCCCAGGGCCCCTGGGAAGCTCCTGGGGCTTGGCAGGGGCAGTGGCATGTTCAGATTTTAATTTTAAGAAGCTCACTCTGGCTGTGCTGCTGAGAATGGGGAGAGTCACAAGGTGAGAGAGGATGAAGGCAGTGGCCAAGGGGATGTGGATTTGAGAGATTTCCAGGAACTTATTTTATATGTAGGACCCGTCATTCGTGGTTTTCAGGTAAGAAGACGGAAGTCCGTTAGAAAGGTTGAGTGAGATGCCCAAGTTTATGCATCTAGTGTATAACAGAGCTAGAGAACATGACTCCAGCCAGAGCCGTTTTCTTAATTATGGCTCAGCAGGACCCAGGGCACCGCAGACCACTGCGGCACCGCTCATGATACTTCTCACAGCTGTCCTGGGCCAGGGCCCGGCCACCCCTCCCCTAGGGGATGTTATCAGTAATTTACCACCCAGCCTGGGTTCCTGTTGCCTTGCCTGTTGATCATTTTGTTGAAGACCACAGGTAGGAGGTAGGGAATATGTCTCAGTGGAGTAGCCTCCTCACAGAGAAACAGATCCAGAATGGTCCTGGGAACCAACAATCTGGGATCAATTGGATCTGGAAAATATAGCCCCAATTGGCCATGAATGACTAATCAACACACTAAGTGCTGACTGTGTACCAAGGGCACATGTGGCATTTAAGTGCACATCAGCACTGGAGGCCCAAGAGAAGATTTCTAATGTCCTAATTTCTCAGTAGGGAGACTAAGACTCAGCAGGGGAAGGAAATTGTCCAGGTATACAAGTAGCTACTGACAAGAAACAGACATGGGATTTCCCGTCAGGATGGCAGTGTAGGTAACGGTGGTCTCTCCTCCTCCCACAACCACATCAAAATGACAACTAAACTACAGAGCAGCCATCATTCAGAACCACTTGACATCAAGCTGAATGGAAGTCCTACAACTACGAAATTAAAGAAGCCACATGGAGACTGGTAGAAGGGCAGAGGTAGATGGGCTTGTCCCACACCCACATGTGACAGATAAAAATCAGGGGGACACCACGTCTGGGAAGGTCCTCCCTGAGGAGTGAGGGGTCCCCATCCTACACCAGGCACCCAGCTCAGGGTTCCAGTGCCAGGAAGAGAATCCCCATCACTTCTGGCTGTAAAACCAGCAGGAACTGAGACTGAGGGAGGCTGAGGCTGCTGGAGCCCCAGGCAGCTCCTCTTAAAGGGCCCTTGCATGGACTTACTCGGACCCACTCCCTCCAGGCTCCAGTGTGGGAGAGGCAAACAGGGAAGAACTGAGTTGTTGGGCATCTGGGTGAGAGCTGGAAGGGCAGCTTTCTCCTGGACAGACGTGCTGGCAGAGGCTGTTGTCCCTTTGGTGAGCCCTTCCTCCACAGGGCTGGCAGACAGCTGCCATATCTGGGACTCCAGCAACCTGGCTCACACTGGTAGCCCCGCCCTGGTGATTCCCTGAGGCCCAGCCCCACCCAACTTTCAGGCCCACCCAAGCTGTTGCCAGTTGCTTAACCATAGGATCGGCCTGTCTTGGCTCCTGCTTCAGATTTTCCTAAATTCTCTCAAACAAGCAGCATCTGGCCTCAGTAAGCCCCATACTTCTCACTAAGTGGCCCCAGGCCTGGCACTAGAAGCAGCCAGCCTTGGTTCACAACTTGGCTTTGCCTGGGCACCTCCAAGCCCAGCACAAGAAGGAGCCATCTGCAGATCACTTTGTAGCTTATGCCGGGTGGCCCCAGGTAGAACACAAGCAGTGGCTGACCTTGCCCCAGAGCCAGCACACCTAGTGGGCAGTTTCAGGTCACGTCAAAACACCACCACCCAACTACCTCCTCAAGTGACACACTCAATGAGTAGACTCAGTGAGTAGCAGAGCCCTGCTGAAGTAAGTCTTGCTCTTTGTGGGGGCCCTTGCACAGCTGATCCTCCAAAGTAGTCAGAGGTCAGTGGTCAGTGGGCACAGCCAGTCCTTTCAGCTGGTCAACCTGAGCAAATCCCTCCCTTTAATGTGCCAACAGCAATCAAGACTCAATTACAACAGAAGGGTGTACAGTCCACATGAGGGTGCACCTTGAGGGCACATTGGGGTGATCAGGGAGGCTATGCCACTGGACCCTAAAGGAAACCTACTACAGTAGGCCACCCTTTGAAGCCTAGGAGACATAGCAACCCTACCTAATACATAGAAACAAACACAGGGAGGCAGTCAAAATGAGGAGACAAAGAAACATGTCGCAAATGAAAGAACAGAACAGAACCCTAGAAGAAGAACTAAACGAACCAGAGATAAGCAATCTAACAGATGCAGAGTTCAAAACATTGCTTATAAGGATGCTCAATGAACTTAGTGAAGACCTCAAGAGCATAGAAAAGGACCGGTCAAAAATAAAGGAGGCACCAACTGAAATAAAGAATAATTTACAGGGAATCAATAATAGAGTAGGTGAAGCCAAGAAGCAAACCATTGATTTGAAATATAAGGAAACAAACAAACAAAAAAAACAACACCCAATCAGAACAGCAAAAAGAAAAAAGAATCCAAAAAATGAGGATAGTATAAGGAGCCTCTGGGACAACTTCAAGCGTGCCAACATTCACATCTTGGGGGTGCCAGAAGGAGAAGAGAGAGAGCAAGTAACTGAAAACCTATTTGAAAAAATAATGACAGAAAACGTTCCTAACTTGGTGAAGTGAACAGACATACAAGTCCAGGAAGCACAGAGAGTCCCAAACAAGATGAACCCAAAGAGGCCCACACTGAGACACATCATCATCAAACTGCAAAAGGTTAAAGACAAAGAGAGAATCCTTTTTTTTTTTTTTTTAAATCTTCACCTGAGGATACTTTTCCATTTATTTTCAGATAGAGTGGGAAGGAGGGAGGGAGACACACACACACATCGACTGGTAGCCTCCCACATGACCTGACCAGGGCCAGGGATGAACCGCAACCGAGGCATATGCCCTTTTCTGGAATTGAACCTGCAACTTATTGGTCTGCAGGCTGATGCTCCAACAACTGAGCCAAACTGGTCAGGGCTTTTAAAAATATGCTTTTATTGATTTTTAGAGAGGTGGGAGAGAGAGATAGAAACATTAATGAGAGAGAAACATTGATTGGCTTCCTCCTGCACAACCTGCACTGGGGATCAAACCCACAACCGGGCATGTGCTCTGACTGGGAATCAAACCTGCGACCTCTTGGCACATGGGTTGACACTCAACCACTGAGCCACACCAGCTGGGCCAAAGAGAGAATCTCTTTTTTTTTTTTTCCTCACCCGAGGACATTTTTTCCACTTTTTTGTTCAGATAGAGCGGGAGGGAGAGAGAGGAAGAGAGAAAGAGAGAGAAACATCGATGTAAAGGGATACATCGAGTGGCTGCCACCCTCACGACCAACCAGGGCCGGGGACAAACTGCAACCGAGGTATGCGCCCTTAGCGGGAACCGAACCTGGGTCTCTCTGTACCGCAGGTCGACGCTCCAACCACTGAGCCAAACCAGCCAGGGCCAAAGAGAGAATCTTAAAAGCAGCAAGAGAAAAGCAGTTAGTTACCTAGAAGGGAGCTCCCATAAGAGTGTCAGTTGATTTCTCAAAATAAACTTTGCAGGCCAGAAGGGAGTGGCAAGAAATATTCAAAGTAATGAAAAGCAAGGACCTACAACCAAGATTACTCCACCTTGCAAAGCTATCATTTAGAATCAGTGGCCATATAAAGAGTTTCCCAGACAAGAAAAAGCTAAGAGTTCATCACCACCAAACCAGTATTACAGGAAATGTTGAAGGGTCTTCTTGAAGAAAAAGATAAAAAATATGAACAATAAAATGGCAATAAATACATATCTATCAACAATTCAATCTACAAACCAAATGAACCAGCAGAACAGAAACAGATCTTAGATACAAAGAACTTTTTGATGGTTGGCAGATGGTAGAGAGGTTGAAGGGATGGGCAAAAAAGGTGAAGTACAAATTGGTTGTTAGACTGACAAACTTCAAAGGGAAGGCGGGGGGGGGGGGGCGCGAAGAGATAAATCAAAGAACTTAGATGCATATATGCATTACCAGTGTACACACACAACAGTGTGGGGAAGGCAGGAGTGAGGCAGGAGTGGGTTGGAGGGGGTCAATAGGGGAAAAGTGGGGACATCTGTAATACATTCAACAATAAAGATCAGTTAAAAAAAAGAAGAAGAAAAGGAACAGACATAGAACTCAGGTAGCCATATTCCCGGCCAAAGCACTTTGAATAGCACCAAGATGAAGAATAAAAATAAGAGAAATAATTTGATGACAGCTATGGAGTCGGATTTAAGAGTTAAATTCTTGAAGAAGTTATCAGTGGACCTTTCTTTCAGTATCTTTCTTTCTATGAAATGGAGCAGGCCAGAAGCCTAGGGAATCAAACCCCTGAACAAAATCTTCGGACCTTGCCCCCTGAGGAAATGCTTCCTTAGCATGTCTTTCTCATCCACAGGCCCTAAAGCCAAGGGCTATTGTTTTGACTGTCTCAGTGGGGCTGCAAAGTAGCTGGCACAGAACCTGTGTGCTCATTTTACCGATGAGAAGGGCCGGGCTTGACTCCTCGGAGAAAGTCAGAGAAAGTTCAGTCCGGACGCTGTTTGGCCCTTCTAGTCCTCCCAGAGCTTCAGCTTCTGAGGCTCACCTTCTCAAACGCAGGCTGCCCGGCTGATTCGCACAGCGGACACTTCGCTCAGTTGCTAGGGGAACCAATAGACGCCACTCTGTTGCTATGGGGAAGTTAGCGGGTAAACATCCTGGGTGAAAGTTGAAAAGTCACATGACATTATTTCTGGGCGGGGAAATACTTCTACCACCAACCAACCTCAGAGAAAACAAATGTTTATCCAATCAGCACTTTTCATAGGCGGGGATCCTTCTAGCTCCGCCTCTTCCCCGCTTTCTATTGGAGCGATTGACTTGTCTGTTCTCCAATAATCGTAGGGATTCTAAATTGACCAATACATAGGTGAATCAAAATACACAGGCTCCTTCGGAGGCGGGCTAGGGGAGGTGCCGCTACGCTGGACAGAGAATCCTGTGACTTAGCTTGCTCCTCCGCCCAATCGGACGCCTTGGGGTAGGTGGGGCTTTGCTGAGGGAGGTGTAGCGGCCAATCGGAGGAATACCGAGCAGGCGTTGTCCAATAGGGGTGCGACAGAAGCGGGATCAGGAGCCGAGCGTTCCTGAGGGTGGGGCGAGGGCAAGTGTCAGTCAGGTCGGGAACGCTACGGAGAACTGCGGAGACTCCGGCGGCTGACAGGGCGCCCGGGCCGCTGTCGTGTCGTCTGCCCAAGATGGAGTTCCTCCTGGGGAACCCGTTCAGCACCCCTGTGGGGCAGTGTCTCGGTAAGGCCGCACGAAGGACAGGCCCTGGGGGGGCGACGGCGGCGGCTGACGCGGCCGTGGGGACCGCGGGCCTCTGCGGGTCACTGGTGCCACCTCTCGGGCGGGCCGGGCATCCTTGTCGTCGGGCTCTGCCCACGGGCTGGCCGGGCCTGCTCACGACGCAGCGCCGTTCGGCCCGGCGGCGCCCGGAGGCCCGACTTGGGCTCGGAGGTCCTCCGCGGGCCGCTGCCCATCGGGGCCCAGCCCTTCCCGGTACCTGAGGAGTGGTGCCCGCGGGTGGTCGGCCGCGGGGGATGCCACTGCCGCGCCCTTCCCCAGCTCGCTGCCACCGCCGTCAGGACCCAGTTCCTCCACACCTGTCCCTCCGCTTCGGTTCCAGCAGCCTCAGACTGGCTCCCTCCCGGAGAAGGTTGCCCGCTCCGAGGCTTGCTCATGCCAACTGCAACTCGGCCCGCCTGGAGGAGGGTGGGGACGGGGCAGGGGTCCCTGAGCGCGGTCACCGCCTGGGGATGGCGTGCCAGGCGACTCCGCGGAAAGGAGGGAGGCCCTGCTTTTAGTGAGAGCCCCGGGCTGTCCTGATGACCTTGTGCCAGTCACTGCCCGCTCTGGTTGGACGTTTCTCCTATCTGTCAAACGAGGTGCTTGGAGGGCAGAGGTAGTAGGTTCCTTCCAATTGTCAAGTTTTGCTATTCCTTGTAGTAGTGTCTGCACATTGATGGCCGCTTCCCTGCAATATTAACTGTGCCAACGCTGACATCTTTGGGGGGCGGGGGGCGGGGGCGGACTCACGGTACCTGTTATCCTACACGGGGGTCTGGGCACCTGGAAGAGGGCACCCAAGGCTATGTGAAGGAATACCCGAGTGGCCACTGTATGGGCCTTTCTCCCTATAAAAGCAGTTTATGTCCCTGGCCAGTTTGGCTCAATGGTCAGAGTGTTGGCCCACCGCCCAAAAGGTCTCAGGTTCGGTTACTGGTCAAGGGCACATACCTGGGCTGCAGGTTAGATCTCCATTCAAGAGGCAGCCAATCATGTGTCCGATTAAGGACACATACCTGGGCTGCCAGTTAGATCCCCATTTGGGAGGCAGCCAATCATGTGTCTCTCTCACTTCGATGTTTCTCTCTCTCCCCCCACTCCCTCCCTTCCACTCGTACCTAAAAAAATCAGTGGAAAAATATCCTCTGAAAGTTTTAGCAACAACCGGAAAAAAAGCAATTTGCCTTTTCACACAAGGCAGGAGCTTATGCCAAGTGGTCAGTCAAGAATGTTGATTAGTTTATTTTAAAACTGGGTTCCTCCTGCCCTGGCTCAGTGGTTGGAGCGTTGGCCTGCAGACCAGAGAGACCCGGGTTTGTTCCTGCTAAGGTCATGTACCTCGGTTGCAGTTGGGGTCGTGTGGGTGGCAACCAGTCGATGGATCTCTCTCACATTGATGTTTCTCTCTCTCTTACCCCCTCTCTCCCTCCTGCTCTATCTGAAGCTGAACTGCAGGAATGTCCTTGGGTGACAATTAAAAAAGACTGGGTTACTCCTGGTTGGTGGCAGGACTGGTAAAACGTCTTTTTACCTGTGGAGGCCTGATGGACCTGGCTGGTTTAGGCAGTAATGGTTTGTTTCCTGCTCCACTTCACTCCCTCACTTTTTAGCCTGGAGTGGGGCCTGTGAAATCGCTGAGGCCGTTCCCCTTGGCTGAGTGGCATTTGGGAACCTTGCTTCTCTCTGTGTTGTAACATGGGTGTTGGAAGAGTCTTTTCCCACCTTTACACACTACTGTGTCTCCCTAGAGTCTCACCCTCTTTATTCCTCACTTACTTCCTTCAGGTGCTCTGTCACCACAGCCGCAGCTGGATTCCAAAAAACGGCTTTCTTAGTGGGGTGTTGACTTCCAACCAGTTGTCAGAGGGAGCCACGAAGCTTGTGGGGGAGGGGACCTTTTCTATTTCCTTTACAATAGGAAGTTCTGCACCTTTGAAATGCCAAGGTAGTTGAGGGGTAGATGTCAAAGGGGATTTTAAAATATGCACATATAAGGGGTGTAGGGGTATATATCCAATGGAAAGAGCATGCTGCTTCTGGTAGGAAGATCTGGCTTTTGACTTTTGCCTTGTCCATCTGTGGGCTGTGGGACCCCAGATAATTGTGTAACTCTTCTGAGCCTTAGTTTGCTGAGAGAGAGAGACAGAGCAAGAAAGAGAGAGATTTGTACTCACACAGGAATGAGGTTTAAGTGAGTTGATGGATGTAAAACATAGTGCCTGGAACATAGTAGAGGTTCAATAAATTGTAGCTGTCGCTGTTAATAACAGAATAATTAAGTTAGGATTGAGGTTTTCTATCTGGAGATTCTATGTGGGACAACTGGGCCATCTGTGACCCGTTGCAGGCCCAGCATCCACCATCACTTAAAAAAGATACTTGACCGTACAGAGTGAAGCCTCCTCGTTGCTGGTTAGTCTGCTGGCAATGCCTGTGTAATTTCACAGTTTAGTTCAGTCCTAATCTATATTCTGTACTGTTGTGACAAAGTGTAAGAGTAATTTTCATGACATTTAGTATTGTGAATGTTCTTTTAAAAGTATGCGCCAGGGGGTTGATGGGAGGGAGGGGAATACGGAAATAAAATAACAACGACACAGCTAACGATGAAAAGCGGCAGCTAAGCTTACGCAAAGCCATTCCTCAGCCATTATTTGCCCCTTACATCTGCTTTGTGAAGGTGGTATATTGTCTTTCCACATCGGAGATGAGGCCCTGGGCTCAGAGGCGAGGAGTGACTGCCCAGCTGATAAGGAGAGCTGGGATGTCATAGCTGTCCTGGTCCTCAGGGGAGTTACAGTGTCGGGAGAGAGGACAGAAGTGCATGGAACAAAGATGACTCAAGAAGGCCGCTCAGTCCAGGAGTGGGGCTTGTCAGTGCTGTTAGGAGTCAAAAAAACTCCGAAGAGCTGGGGTGATGGGTCTGGGTTCTTTGAGTCTGAGGGCTGCTCATGAGAGTGGGTGGGAATTCCAGAGGCAGGTACTGAGGTAGGGAGGGCGTGTGTGGGCACACCGTGAGCACCAATCTGTATGAACAGAGGTGGCTGTGGGGAAGAGTGGCGAGTAGGGTTTGGACCCAGGTTGAAGTGTGTTCTGGGTGGGTGACGTCAAAGACTACATTCTTTACCTGACTTCAACTTTTAGTCTCTCTGGACCTCATTTTTCTCATTCATAAAAGAATACCTTTTGCCCTGGCCAGTTTGGCTCAGAGGTTGGAGCATCGGCCCAAGGACTAAAGGGTCTAGAGTTTGATTCCCGATCAAAGGCACACACCTGGGTTGCAGATTAAGTCCCTGGTCCCAGTCCGGGTCATACGGGAGGCAGCCAGTTGATGTGCCTCTTTCACATCAATCTCTCTCTCCCCCCCTTCCCCCTCTCTTTTACTTGGTCTAAAAATCAATTGAAAAAATGTCCTTAGAGGAGGATTTTAAAAAAGAAGAAGAAAAAAGAATACCTCTCAATGGCTACATGGGGCTTGTACCTAAATAATTTCATCAGTTCAACTCAGTAGGCTTCTTGAGTGCTTGTTGGGTGCCAGGCTCTGGGACAGAAATATTAAGATGCTGCTCTCAGGGATCCTTCAGTGGAGGCAATATGCCTACCAGAGGTGTCCCGGAGCTATAAGGCACTGGGCTCACAGTAGGAGGGTTAGCAGAGTACTTATTACTTTGTCTCCTGCCTGGGCCCCATGTAGACATCCTGACCTGGCGCTGTTGGGTTGAACACACAGTCGGCCCGTCTCGAGCAGCAGCTAAGCCCAGTCGGACGTGCACACACAGACTGTGCATTTCTTGCCTCCATCCTGCTCTTCATTCTGGAAGGTGCTTAGAGAGAGAGCCAGCTGTGGTGTAAGAGAAGAAGCATGGGGAAAGAAAAATTACTTACTTTTATTTCCAGATTTTCTCTTCTGAAACAAGTTTCAAAATGTGACTGTGTTCATCACAACCCTCCAGTACCAACCACGGGAGCTGGGTGTGGTACATCGGGAGTTCCCTAAGTCAGGGTCGCAGTGCCCTGCAAATGTTGGCAGCTTTTCTTGCGGTGGCTGGAGAGTGTTTTAGATAAGCCTTTTCCAGGAGTCAGGTTTGGATTCATTTGTCTTAAAAGCTCAGTGAATAGTTAGTTAATTCTGACCAGAATATTTGGGGTGGGGGTGAGAGAAAGACCTTCTGTTGTCGTCATAGTTCTGCTTTAATGAACATGTACGGAGATGTTCTGTTGCAGGATTTGTGTTTGTAAATTGGGTGGTATTGTACATAAACCACTTCCTAGTGCCCCGTGCCCACCTGGTGATTGATGCTAACATGATTGTCTGTACCGTGAATGACTAGCCCTTGCTCAGGTAGCTATGGCCATTGGCAGCGTGCAGAATCTGCTTGTTTCATTCAGTAATTTTTTTCAGTCTTTACATTCCTGTGAGAGACACAGGAAGAAAACTGAAAGGAACTTATAATCATTAAGCACCTTCTATATGCGTACTTTGCACATGGTATCTCATTCAATCCTTACAACATTTCATTGAGTGCTGTTGTCCCTATATTGTTTATAAGGAAGTGAGAGGTTAAGAGACTTGTCAAGGTCAATGACAAAGTTAAGCCCAGAATCCACTCTTGATCAAGTGTTCACCCTATGCTTCCATGTCACTTTTGGCGACAGATCCCGTGGTTCAGGGCAGTCAGGACACCTGGAGGGCTTGTTAAGCAGATTGCTGGGTTCCACTCTCAGAGTCTGATTCAGTAGGTGCGGGCTGGGGCCTAGCATGTACATTTCTAACAAGTTCCCAGGTGATGCTGGTGAGGCTGGTCCAGGCGCCACACTTTGAGAACTGTTGCTCTAGGTGAAATGTTCTGCTTCTTTAATCTCTCTCTGTCTTTTTTAAATTTTTTTTAAATATTAAATGCGGATTTTCTTATGGATGATATGATCATTTAGAATTCATTCATTCATTCATTCAGTGGCCT